TAGATAAATGCAACTAGTTATTCAAAATCAGTGTAAGGGGCCTGGGAACGACTGCGTTGCCTTGACAACAAAATTAGAAGTATTTTTCCATGCGTCTCATCATGTACTATCTGTATGAAAATGTCATTTGATTTGAGCCAATAATAACTGAGCTATGCTTCAGTTTACTATTCATTAAACATACTTACCCTACCAATGACGTCACACGTTGTGCTGAATCAGCAATTTATATTTTGCACATTTTTGCGTATAACTTCGGAACCAGATGAGATAGAATAGAGCAGTAAACGGCCAATCGGCTTATTTTTTCATGCTCTTTCAGATAAAGCAATAAAAATTTTTATTGCCATTACCCTTTAAAGATGAGTCCAGAGTTTTTTGGAGTCCGGATTTTTCTTGAGTCCGGATTTTCTTCGAGTCCGAATCTGCATGGTCTGGATTTTGAACTATGCCTTTGCGCGAATAGTCAACTAAAACCCAAGTTACCAAAAATTGACGTTACATGATATATTTATGTTCTGTTATGTTTTTAAACACATGTGCCATTCACGCTGCATTATTTGCGGTGAAATTATTAATTTTGTGTTGCTATGTTTATACTGTCATTTGATATGTGCTTGCAATCTGCGAGCACAAAGTTTCGTTGCCCGCTCGAACTCTAAGAAAAATATGCGCACTTCACAGAACGTTTCCCATTAAAAATACACTATTTTGATCGCGAAATGACTGAAATACTAAAGGTTTACACGCTTGACACCTGGCGACCTTCGTAGCCACTGAATTACGTACCAAACTGTAAGATTTGTACGTTAATTCATCGTTCATCTGTGCAAATTTGAAGAAGGAAACTGGACTACCTGGAGAAAACCTGTGTGAGCTGTGATAACTGGAAGCATTATATATATATGCAACTGAGCCATAACTGCATGTAGTACACATAGCAGGAAATAATATTTTGTTTCTGGGATTTTAAGTTTTGGGATCAAAGTTTTCTGCCATATTATATTTAATATCTGTTCCTGTAGCATTATGCAATGCCCTAAAATGTTCTGCCAGCCAGGTCTGAAAAATTTCTAGGATCCTACATGCTAGGATCCACCATTATTTCCTGCTATCCTGCAGGAATTGAATCTCAGACCCTCACAATGAAACAACAAAACACAAAAGTAACGACTATGTGACCAACATCCTGAGCAATCTCTGTATTATCTTATCTAAGGATGGATATATTGGATTTGGCGGCAATGTTATACTAGACATTTCTGTAGGGAGTGTTGTTTGTGGGTTTTGAATTTCAATGTGGTGGTGGGAGAGGGACAATGCTGTTCGAGGAGAAAAATTGCCTTTTCAATGCGTACAGATATTTTGTAAAGTATTTCTTGTATGTGGAAGATAATACTATATCTTAGGTATATATGTTGTACTTTAAGACTATTGAAGTCTGAGTATTAAATGTATAATTGTGAAACTGTACAAAGCAAAATAGCCATGCAGGTAATTTATGGAACTGGAAAAACACTCACTCCGACTATATTTATTAAGTGCATCGTCATATTAATTCATTTAGTTCATTACTGTAAGCCTATTTTTCAAAAGCATATACTAGCATTCTGCATTGTATACATGATATATTACAGTATATATAGCATTGTATCTACAGCTATAGTATAGCCATTCACTAACCAAGTTCATGACAAGTTTTCATATTAAACTGACAAGTGATAGGTTGTCTTTGTCTATTACAGCGTACAAGTTTTGCCAAGCTACCAGGGCCCTGGTAATACCTTTAGCGGATGATTTCACAGTTTATACATAAACACATGCTGTAGCACGTGCTCTTGTGTCATTCATGGCTGGCAGTTTTTGCCAAGTAGTATCACCAATCACGTAGTACTCTACTGTTTTAAGTTGTGTGGTGGTGACATATCTACGATAACCATCTCTACGTTCAGTCTTAATCTCACCTCCCATAACCACGATCACATCACCCATGATCACAGCAGCACAGTTGCTTCTCTTCTCAAGCATGGATGGTAAACGTTTACACTCCAGACTGTGGATGTTGTACATCAATACATCATTTAATGGACTCCACTCGACGGGAACACGATTCTGACCACCGAGGATAATTATATTATCTTTGTAAGCGACAGTCGCCATGTTATACACTGTATAGGGCAAAGTGGTGAGGGTTTTCAGCTTATTATTGGCTATATCATATCGCTCTATTTTATTTCCTGAAAACCCGATGACAAAGATTTCGTTGCCGAAACATTCAAGAGCACAAATACCACGATTGTCGTATTCGCTGTACCGCCCATATTGTTCGGACCCTTGAATAAGTACAGTTGATTTCCACGGGCGCTCGAGCGATGTTTCTTGTACGTGCCAACCAAACGTAATAATTCGATTTTCAAACAGAACGCCATTAAGATCACCAGATGGTAAACTACCTGGAAAAACATTCGAGGTAAAACCATTCTCACTTGGAACCAAGAACTCGATTCGATTAGAACTACCACCGCAAACCATTATTCTCTTCCCGTAAAGAAACGAAAACGATTTGCGATGCGAGAAAAACAAACAGTTTTCAATCAAAGTCCACGCTTTAGTAGACCAGTTGAAAACTTCAAGAGATTTGGAACTGAAAATAAAGATTTGTCCTTTGATATTAACTGCGCTATCTCGCTGAATGGTCGCAGAGCTGAAGTGACGTAGAGGATTCTGTAGGTCTTTAATGCTTTGGTCGTGGGTTTTCTGCTTTTCCAGCATTTCATCTTGAATGAGAACAACTTGTTTCAAAGACTCGGTTACTTCATCCAAACGTGACTTAACTTCCTTCATCTCTTTTCTCAATGTCAAACTGCATTGATGTTTCTTATAATAATCAACGTACACCAACTCTTCATCACAAAATTCGCAAGTTATCTTTCGAAACTTGCATTCTTCCGTCTCGTGGCTTTCTTTATCGCGTCTGTTCACCGTCTCTTTGCAGCCTTCGTTCGAGCAAACAACCGGAGCATAACCACACGTCTGTTCATGTAACAACAACTCTTTAACTTCAACATTCTCCTCACAGCCTCGAGAAACATGACTGCAACGTGGTTTCTTCAACTGGGATACAACACTGGCAACAATTCGAGACGGTGGTCGCAGCGTTTCGAGCGTCAGTTGCTCCATACAAAGTGGGCATGTTTCGGAGTTTCCCAGATGCTTCGTGATACATCCCCGACAAAAATAATGCTCGTTGTTTTGACATTGAACTGGGTCATGTAAAACCTCCAAGCATATTTTACAGGAGAAATTTTCGCCGAGTAATAACGCTTCCTGATCATTGTTCCCAGTCGTATTTCCATAGCCTAGAAATGAATATATTTGGCCCATACTATTCTATTTACTGTGAACCCAAGCTTGGCCAGACAGACACGTTTTATAATATGATGGGGCACTTACACCCTGATATAATTTTAAATCCTTATTAGTTATATATTGTATGTGACTTTATGACCTCTAAGTGCTAGGTGTACCAATTTGATTGGTTGAATAACTAACGCTGTTTAGGGTTAGTGGTAAATTTGTTCAGACATTGTGGGACTGTGATTTTGTATGCATAGATTTTGGCTGCTTTACATTATCAAAGGTTCTGTGACCACAGTAGGAATTTTTCATAGATAAATTCTGTCGTTTTGAAGGATTTGTAAAAATTGATCACAGAAACTTCGACAGTGCAAGACCAGCCTTAATTCTTTCAGTGCTTATTCGCCTTATCTATGGCTTTCTATAACAATTACCTATTATGCTATTATTACGTATAAATAAAGTACAAAATAACACTTGCAAGTGATGAACCAGGCGGGAATCGTAATCGTAGTATAAAGATTAATGCCCAGCATAACTATATGGCTCTTTTGCGTACGTTATGCTGGGCATTAATCTTTATACTACGATTACAAAATAACAGGAATGGAACAAAATTCACCATCAATTTTACTACAAATGCGAGTGTGTAATATTTATAGTACCTTATAGTTAATTTTTCAGTTTCCTTAATATTTCTTTAGTTTATTTTTAAATCCAATCTTAAGTCATGACACTACAATATAAAATTGACATGCATTAACTAACAGCCATAATATAAATTTAATATCAATTGGGTTAAGAATATTTTGTTAGCAATAATTTGACTGATATTTTATATCGCAATCCTCAGGCGTCTAGGTCTAGATAGTTATCCAGGTTTTCTTCAGATGTCTTGGTCTCACTCCATGATATCATCACGGGTTCAAAGTCCCATGTATCAGGATGTCCCAGAGGACGTGTCCAGCCCGACATGGTCCAGTTGAAGACTGGTTGTTGGTCGTGGGTTGGACCACTTACTGCGTAGACTTTGAAACTTTGAGACAGTTCATAACTTGTTATCTAAAGAATAAGAAAGAAAGAAAATAAGAAAAGCTATCGTCTTTCCCTAAATCTAATTCCCTTTTTGCTCCAAAACCCCAGTCAAATGAGGATGACACTTAATGAGAGTTGGCAGTCACCGCATTGTTACGGGGACATTTCAAGCTCTAGATTAACAAAATAAAGGTTTGATGACTGTTCCAACTATGTTTTAACTTCAATAGAATACATGCTAGTGTCGGGAAAGCATTAAGAACAGCTAAGCTGTTTAATTCTCACAATAAGACTTAATCTTGTGGAGTTGATCACAGTGGTTTGTACACGTGTCTTTCACATGTGTGAGTCAGTGTGACCATGCAGGGTTTAACTCCTACACACGTAAAAATCTCACAACTTGTCAACAAGATGTGTTCGCAACAGGCTTGTAGCAAGCTCGTCAAGAAGTTGTAACAATGCTGTTATTTCATCAAGTTGCTACAAAGTTGTTTATACTCACAACTTGTTGACAAATTGTTGAATTGCAGGACGATAACAAACGTCTGTTGAATTCGACAACCTTGTAGCAAGTTGACAATGTGTTCAAGCCGTTGACAACTTGTCAACAAGCTGGGAGCAAGCAGCGCGAACACATCCTGTTGACATGTTGTTCCAACAACATTGCTACAAGTCTGCTGCAGCTTTGTTGCAACTTGTGCATTTTTACGTGTGTACAATAAGCAGTTGTCTGAACATTATTTCGTCTCAGTCGCATGTGCCTTAGTTACTTAAGTTTATATACCACAGTTTTTCCGGGCAATTCGGTTTCCTCGTAGTAACACTGTGTCTCTTGGTGCAGCTCTAGGGGGGAAGTGATTAAAACTGATAGAGCTATCCGGCATAAGTAAAGCTCCTGTATTAATAATATGAGGGATGGCTGAGAGAGTGTCGAAAGCTAGGCCTGTAGTAATGTACTATGAATGGCTGCATGCAGGCTGATGAACTAGCAAGAATGCCCTCATTCACCCCTCTTTTAGTGTCCTCATCACTCCTTCAGTGCCCTGCCCCCTCGGTGCCTCCCTCCCTACTTCTCTAGGTATATAACGTACCTTTGCATCTATCCCACCACCTGATCTGTGGCCTAGAACATCAAACGGGTACTTGCCCGAAGCGGGGTTTAGATCACACCTGGCTGAGATAGCGTTCACTGCGCTGTATGGTGGAGTACAGTTGCATTTTGCTAACGGGTCGTGGGTATAGTCATTGTACCTGCAGAAATAAAGCAGGATTTTGACAAATGATTAGGTACGAAACTATATCAGGAATAGCTTTATCGCAACCTCGTACCCAGGTCTTCTGTGCTTGTTGTGCTCAGAAGCCCTGGGTACGAAGTTAAGCTCTATCGTTTCTAAACTGTTCGTCCTGTTTCTTGGTGGTCCAGTGTTACTACAAGAGGAAAGGTAAACTGAACTAACTTTGTACTGGAAAGCTTTATACTGTTCTCCTTAGAGGTCCAGTAATGTCATCTCGTATTAGTCCAGTATTACTACAGGAATAAACATAAAATTTTCGATAACCACTGAGTATTCTAATAAAATACAAAACATGGAAACTCCGAAGAAATTCATATTCTTAATTCAACGTTTCGACTACTGTTGAGTCATCATCAGGAATTATGAAAGCTACTAAAATTTAGTTTAAAAACAACTAAAATTTTAGTAGCTTTCATAATTGCTGATGATGACTGAACAGTAGTCGAAACGTTGAATTAAAAATATGAATTTCTTCGGAGTTTCCATTGTTTTGTATTTTAATAAACATAAACTAACTGTTCTTCCTGGAGGTCCAGTAATGTCATCTCGTATTAGTCCAGTATTACTTCATGCGGGAATAAAATATAATATATTACTGTACGGCTAAGATAGAGTTCTACTAAACATGGACGACCTTAGCTGAAAATCATTACCAACCTCATCAACTTCATCATACTGGCCAGATCAACGACCTTGCTTTGATCACGTTTAAATATTTGTGCTCGAGGAGCGAGGTTGTAGTCAAACCATGAACCATATTTCTTCACCATGCTTTCTTGAGCACTCACAGTGGAGATTGCCTCAAAGAAACTACGCAGAAAATTTCACAACAATAAGAATGTACACTGTAAAATTCAGCATTTGAATTTGCAAGTGCATGTATAAACAATAAGAATAGCGAGAGAAAAAAACCCACAAGTAACATACGGTATATTGTAGCTTGCCCAGTAGCCATTTTGCTTCAAGGATAGAGAAAGATCAGCCATTTGTACCATTCCTGGCAGTTGTTCCAACACCCACAGTGTTTCAGGGACAACAGGTTGTCCAGGTGTAAACTTTTTGTAGTCGAGTACCATCCACTGGGAATAAGAAATGAAACAAAACATTAAAACCCTGGTGGGCCCCTGGTCAAACGAGAATAAAGGAATACCAAATGGTTTTCGGAAAGCGTAAAAAAACCCACTCGCCTGCGGCTCGAGGTTTTTACGTTTTCCGAAAGTCTTGCAACATCCCACGTGCACATGGATGACGCTATCCTGAACGAAAAACCATTTGGTAATTATTTTATAAAATAACTATAGAGTATAGTGAAACAACTGCCCGAATTTTGAACTGAAAAAATCTCTTGATTGATAGCTGACGGCTGACAATTTGTACTTACTTGATTATTGTATCTACATCACAAAGAAAAAAAATCAGAATTAGTTAACCATTATCTGAGCTAACCAATTAACTTTATAAATATTTACTGAAAAGTTCTACTGGTCTGTCTTAAACTCCAGGAAGAACCATCTCTTGTTGATCCAGTGTTATTTCAAAAGGAAACCTAAACTAAACTAACTTTATTTATACTGGGTAGATTTATCTTTTCTAAACTGTTCTCTCTAGAGGTTCAGTAAGGATCATGTCTTATTGATCCAGTGTTACTACAGGAGGAAACCTAAACTAACTTTATTTATACTGGGTAGGTTTATCTTTTCTAAACTGTTCTCTCTAGAGGTCCAGTAAGGATCATCTCTTATTGATCCAGTGTTACTATAGGAGGAAACCTAAACTAAACTAAACTAACTTTATTTATACTGGGTAGGTTTATCATTTCTAAACTGTTCTCTCTAGAGGTCCAGTAAGGATCATCCCTTATTGATCTAGTGTTACTACAGGAGGAAACCTAAACTAAACTAACTTTATTTATACTGGGTAGGTTTATCATTTCTAAACTGTCTCTCTAGAGGTTCAGTGAAAACAGACGTATACCAGAACATATCTTGAATTGTTTTTGCCAGTGTAGGTATAGTGTCAATAATGTGAGTCACACTGCAGGTGTCAGCAACGTCCCTATACATCAATGCCAACTTACGTTCCACTGTTGAGTTTTGAAAACAATGAAACCCACTGCCGACCATCTTGTGCAATTCTGTTAGCTATGACCGTTCTTGCCCACTCCATCACAGAATTTGCATTTATATATTGCCATAAGTCATTGTTGTAGTTCTCGTTGGTTGTCTCTTGGGTGACCTAGAGAAGACAAAGTAGCAAATGTTTCCTGTTCACCTTCAGGAAACATGTCTAGGAAAGAGTGTTTCCTGATTTGTCCACCTTGGGGAAGCATGACTAAGCTAGACTGATACCAGTAAGGATCCAAATTATTCGACTCAATTTGAGAAGGCAAAAAAGGTACTCTGGCAATTAGAACTTTATAATGTGATAGAAATCGAGTGCCTTGAAGCAAATATATTAGTACATTACCAATCCACTGCTGAGCATATAAAAATCATCCTGACTATGTAGTTTCCCAGGATAGGAGGAAAAACTTTGATTTTGCGCAATAATGTGAAGAGCTGCAAAGAAAATAAATGTTAAGTTCTTTGTATGTTCCACAAACAAAACAAATGTTATTTTGAGGAATAAATAATATTTGTATAAAACAAATGTTATTTTGAAAGATTTATTCTTCAAGACGAACTATTATTATTATTGTTTAATTACTGTTATATACCAGGACGCTACATATGACAAATACGCTAAAAATGAAAGTGTTTATATACCGGGTGTCCCAAAAAAACTGGACACTGTTTCATTTCATGTAACGTAAAAGCTATAAAAGCTATGAAATAAAGATCATTGCATTCAGAAAGGACTAACTTAGATTTTGATGTATAACACTTGAATTTACATGCAATATTGAGCGAGATGCAACCGTTTGATTTTGGAATGCGTTTTAGGAATTGGTGAAAGCCCGGTATAAAAAATTTGCTGTTTTATGCTAATTTCCGGCATTTTCAAAAACAGTAGTTCAACGTTCAAACATCAACAGCGCAGTCAATATTGCATGTAAATTCAAGTGTTATATATCAAAATCTAAGTTAGTCCTTTCTGAATGCAATGATCTTAATTTCATTGCGATAGCTTTTACGTTACATGAAATCAAACAGTTACAATTTTGGGATACCAGTTGACGGCCAATTTAAGAAAGCTTGACAAAAACGTCGTATAAGGAATATTTGCTGACCTGGATTGCTGTTGTTAACCAGCTGTAGTTCGTAAAGTTTATAAATACGTAACATCGATGTGTAATAAAACCATGTGACGTGAGAAACGAACAAATCTTTGTTGTCTGGTAAAACTTTGATAAGAGCAGAACAGGAGCCTTCGCCAACAATATGATGTGTCTCTGTACGGTTCATTAGCGCGTGTTCCAGATCGCTTAGCGCTCCAAGTTGCATTAAACTGCAAAGACGCGTTAAGAAGAAAGGGAATGCTTGTCAATTACGAGGTGAAATGGTACAGCGCGTTCTTCCTAATACAGAGAAAATCGTGCATTACATGTTCTTTAATGTGATTACCTTAAAAAACATGTGATAAACACGGTTAATCGTGCAGAGATAGTAGATGGGCACGAACTTGCGCTAACATGAATAGCTCGGTGTTCTAGACTTACGACCTGTATGGATCTTCCCGCTTATTCGTCCACTTTTTCCTGCAGGAAAAATCCGAAGTACTAGTAGAAAATGTGCAGTATTTGGCAGTGCGAAACTGGAAGCATTCTTTTTTATACAAATATGAAGTGAAATTAGAAAAATGACATTCACCTCACTTTGCTATTGCCATTGTGTTTTAAATTACAACGCACACATATTTGCAGGGTACACTTTAGTTTTAAAATATTAAATACCGAACTTTCTCTTAGCCTCATTTTATTAATAGACTTTTTTGTGTTGTTAATGACTTTAGTTTTAATTTCTTGTCTTACTTGAAATCAAAAGATGTCAATGGGTTACTCATTCCTGTCTCGCTTGCTGCGTAACCGCGACGAAGACCAGTAAGTTGTTGATACAGTAGTTTCACCTGGATGAATGGTAACAAGGATAGGGGATTATGATGGTGATGGTGAATCAGGTGACAAAGAATTGATGATGTTAAGGTAGTGGTGGTTATGATGATGGTTATGATGATGATGGTGCTGCTGATGGTATAATGATGTCAGATGATTCATCAATAGACCTTTAACCAATAACCTTATAACTAAAATTTTGATCTAGACAAAAATTTCATCACAGCTTGAAAGATCATCACAAAATTAGTAATATTCCAAAGTTTCGTTACGAAATGTTGTAAAATGCGGATAATATATATAGCCCTGCGAAGTTTGCAATTTTCAGTCATTTTCGATTACAAACGGGAAATTGATACCCAAATCGGGTGTTTGGGTATCAATTTCCCGTTTGTAATCTAAAATGGCTGAAAATTGCAAACTTCGCAAGGCTATATTATCCGCATTTTACAACATTTCGTAACAAAACTTTGGGATATTGCTAATTTTTGTGATGCTCTTTCAAGCTGTGATGAAATTTTTGTCTAGACTTGTCTAAATCAAAATTTTAGTTAGAAGGTTAAAGGTCCATTCATACCAAAGCAATACATAACCAATACCTGATACCAGTAAGGATCCAAATGATTTGACTGAATTTGAGAAGACAAGAAAATAGAGTTCTCATACAAGAACATTTTAAGTTTATCACACATCTTTTGATTCTGTGAACAATACGTAGCGAGGGTGTTTTTCCACTGCATCAAGATAAATTCTGCTGTCAAATATCCTTCTACCATGCCAGCAGCCAGAGACTGGATGTCGTCTGGGTAGGAACTTGTTGTGTGCACCTCTAAGTATGACCATCTATATAGCAACATAATTTCAGTATTGGTACAGGCTAATCTGGTGGGGGGAGGGGTCATTCCTGGGGTGGTCAGGTAGAAATTCTCTAGGGGGGTAGAAATTTTTCTAAATGTGCACGCACCCCTTGCCTACAGTTCATTCCAAAAGTTCATCAATAATGGAAAATATTCTAATTTTATGCAAAACCTAACATTGATTCCACTGAAATTACTGTTTCCACTTACGACGCAAAATTTTCTTTTGCCAAAAAAATTTCCTTATATCTAAATTCTTATATCTTATATACCACGTGAATTTTATACGAAGCACGCAAATGCAAATCACATGACGGAAGTTATGCTATATAAACTTTGACATAAGCCAAATAACATAAACTTGACATATTAAAACCTAATACTTTTGAGCCTTATTGATTTGAGGTATAAACTAGAACACCATAGCACTTTGACTTGGCAGTCAAGTATTGACTAAAATATAAACGGCATTAAACACGACAATTCAGAAAGTGTGTATGAACAAAAGCAACATAGTGAACATACCCAGTCTTGTTGACTTGGTTGGAGAATCTAGCCCATGCTACAGCGCCTTCAAGAACATCGTCTTCGACATAAAGTCGGTTTGATAGAGGATCCAACAATACGCTTGCATATTCACCATCATCTGCCCTGGTTAGAGCGAAATGAAAGAGAAATAGACAAGCAATAAAATACGCTCTCATCTTTATATTTGCGCTGTTTTGCCTCTATTTACACCTTGCCTGCATTGCGGGTGTTTGCGCAAACTGAGCTAATTAATTAATACGAGCACCCTAAAATCGAGAAGGGGGCTAAATATAGGCTACACATACGCTATGTTTACACCATACGAAAAGCTTTTCGTAGCGGCTCGAAAAAGCACCTGTCCGATACGGAATGTACAACTTTCACAACATTTCTCCGTTGCAATAATTCCTCTGAAAATAGCGTTTCTAAAAATTATGGATAGGTGTTTTTTCACATCGCTACGGGAAGCTATCCGTACAACGTAACCTTAATTGAATAATTAGGCAGGAAGATTTGTGAAAGGCTTTCTAGACTTTATAAGTTCTTCACTTCTTCCTCTAAGAAAAGTCCAGTGGGTTAAGAAGCACCAGTCTGAAATTTGGGCAATTCAGCACCCAAAATACAACTACCACTTCAGGCTGACGAATGAAACTGGTTTCTTAATTATTAAACTTTTAGCCGAATTATAGTAAGCAGGTACTAGGAAGAAAACAAGATACTGTAATCTTGCTAGCAGGAATTATGTCTTTCATCTGCATCATACATGTATTTTATCAAAAGTAATTTCATGGTATATAACTATAATCACTAACGCTATTTTGTATTTATTTTATCAAAAGTAATTTCATGGTATACAACTATAATCACTAACGCTATTTGACCTGGGCCTGACTTACCAAAAATCATTTTTTCTGCATGGCAGTTCTGAGTAAATTTGTTCAGGAAAAACTGGGTTTTTGTATGCATGTTCTTTAAGTCTTTCAAGTGCTGATTCGCCTATCTATGACCTTCTATAACAATTACCTGGGCTATTATTACGAAAATATAAAATATGTACGTACAAAATAGGAATGAAACAAAATTCACAACTAATATTATTACAAATGCGAGTGCGTTAACTTTATTACCTTCTTTTTCGGTTCCTTAATTTTAATATTTATAAGCCTAAGCTTTAGTCATAACACTGACTCTACAATATAAAACTGACATGCAGCAGCCATAATGTAAATTGAAGATTAAAAATATTTTGTAAGCAATAATTTGACCGATATTTTTATTTCCCAATCCTCAGAGTCCTCAGGCGTCTAGGTCTATGTAGTTATCCAGGTCTTCTTCAGATGTCTTGGTCTCACTCCATGATATCATCACGGGTTCAAAGTTAAATTGATCAGGATGTCCCAGAGGACGTTTCCAGCCCGACATGGTCCAGTTGAAGACTGGTTGTTGGTCGTGAGTTGGACCACTGACTGCGTAGACTTTGAAACTTTGAGACAGTTCATAACTTGTCACCTGAAGAATAAGAAAGGCTATCGTCTTTCCCTGAATCTAATACCATTTTCGCTCTAAATAAAGCCAGAATCTTAATACATTTCCAACACCTCTCTCCTCCGCAGAGGCTTCTGTTGGATGTGATTACGATTAGTATTGAGATATATTTCACTACACTTTACATGGAGGATCTTGGAACACGAGCAGAGCTGCTCCTCGCCTTCGCTCATAGCCAACTAAAAGAAACCTTAATCTAGAGCTTGAAATGACCCTTCGGAGCGACTGACAACTCTCATCAACTTTCATCCTTGTTTGACTGGGGTTTAACCATAGATATCTTATATACATTAGATAGTGCATCTAATTATTCTGCAATTCAAAAATTGAAGCCGTGATTGCAGTCTCAGGTCGTTTCCATGAAATGAGAAGATTCGTATGTTTTCTATTTCTTAAACCAGGAACTTAAACATTAAACAAATACGTTTTTAAACTATTCAAAAAATGAAAGTTTTTGTTGTTCAACATGGCCGCCATCTATTCAAATGGGGGTAACCGCTGGAATATTCCTGGCTTCAATTTTACTAAAAGAGATGCGCTATCTAGTGTATATAAGATATCTATGGGTTTAACGATTTAATTTTCTTCACTTATTCTGAATCATGACTCGTGAGTGATGGGTAACTTCCTTTTAGGGCTTTTGACTGGGCAAATAATCCTAGTACGCTGCTAGTTGTCTTAGGTGCTAAAAACCACTGTCTCTTACTCAAGCTCTAGAGTTGTCCAACGTAAATAAAGCTAATTTTCGTTTGGCTCTTGCTCGGCCCCTCAAGAGAACAGTTTGGAACTGTTAGGTATATCCGGAAAAAATGAAGTGTCAAGGGCTATGCTATATAATGTAGTGATGAAATGGCTGCTCACCACTCCTTCAATGCCTCCCTCTCTATTTCTCTATATGATCATGACGTACCCCCTCATTCAGTGTCCTCATCACTCCTTCAGTGCCCCGCCCCCTCGATGCCTCCCTCCCTACTTCTCTATATAACGTACCTTTGCATCTGTCCCGCCATGTTGTCTGTGACCCAGGGCACCAAATGGGTACTTGCCAGAAGCGGGGTTTAGATCACACCTGGCTGAGATAGCATTCTCCGCGCTGTATGGTGGAGTACAGTTGCATTTTGCTAACGGGTCATGGGTATAGTCATTGTACCTGCAGAAATAAAGCAGGATTTTGACAAATGATTAGGTACGAAACTATAGCAGGGCCAGCGTTACCACAAGAGGAAACCTAAACTAAACTAAACTTTGTACAGGAGGAAACCTAAACTAAACTAACTTAATTTATACTAGATAGCTTTATCAGTTCTAAACTGTTCTCCCTAGAGGTCCAGTAAGAATCATCTCTTATTGATCCAGTGTTACTACAGGAGGAAACCTAAACTAAACTAACTTTATTTATACTGGGTAACTCTATCAGTTCTAAACTGTTCTCCCTAGAGGTCCAGTAAGAATCATCTCTTATTGATCCAGTGTTACTACAGGAGGAAACCTAAACTAAACTAACTTTATTTATACTAGATAGCTCTATCAGTTCTAAACTGTTCTCCCTAAGGGGTCCAGTAAGGATCATCTCTTATTGATCCAGTGTTACTACAGGAGGAAACCTAACCTAACTTTATTTATACTGGATAGTTCCATCAGTTCTAAACTGTTCTTCCTAGAGGTTCAGTAAGGTCATCTCATGTTTGTCAAGTGTTACTACAGGAAGAAACCAAACCTAAATTAAAATAACTTTATTTATTTATACCGTATAGCTCATCAGTTATAAATTATTTTCCCTAGAGGTCCAGTAAATATTTGTCCAGTGTTACTGCAGCAGGAAACCTAAGCTAACCTAACTTTATACTGGAAACCTCTATGAGTTCTAAACTGTTCTTGGAAGTCCAGTATAGTGGCAATCGTTCAGTGACCCATTGTTACTACTGGAGGAAACAGGACGACCTGTATGGAATCACTTTCTCACGTTTGATCGAGGCGATATTATTCTTATAGACAAGTACAGGAATGGAACCACAGTGACAGCATTGACATGTTCATCCACGGTTCCATAAGGCTAAGAAAAACATATACCTCATTAATTTCATCATACTGTCCAGATCAACGACCTTGCTTTGATCACGTTTAAATATCTGTGCTCGAGGAGCGAGGTTGTAGTCAAACCATGAACCATATTTCTTCACCATGCTATCTTGATCACTCACAGTGGAGATTGCCTCGAAGAAACTACACAGAAAATTTCAGAACAAGAATAAGAATGTACACTGTGAAGTACGACCTCAGAACGACGCTTGAGTACATTTTGACACTTTTGAATTTGCAAGTGTTTATATAAACAATAAAGATAGCGAAAAAAAACCCACAAAAACAAGTAACATACGGTATATTATAGCTTGCCCAGTAGCCATTTTGCTTCAGGTATAAAGAAAGATCAGCCATTTGTACCATTCCTGGCAGTTGTTCCAACACCCACAGTGTTTCAGGGACAACAGGTTGTCCTGGTGTAAACCTTTTGTAGTCGAGTACCATCCACTGCGAAGAAATGAAAGTTGGCGGTGAAACACCAGCGAGAGTTGAACTCTCGTCATCATTTGGCCGAGGCTTTATGGATTGTTTCACACCCTGGAGTCACGGTCTGGATAAGATTCTGTTGTCAATTCTGACATTGCAGAATTTTCAACTGAAAAAATCTCATGATTGATAGCGGACTCGTGATGAAACAACAACATACAAAATGAGCTGACAATTTGTACTTACTTGATTATTGTATCTTCATACATCACAAAGAAAAGAAAAGAAAATGAGAATCAGTTATAATCATTGTCTGAGCCAACAAAATTATCAAAACTATATTGCCAACTTACGTTCCACTGTTGAGTTTTGAAAACAATGAAACCCACTGCCGACCATCTTGTGCAATTCTGTTAGCTACGACAGTTCTTGCCCACTCCATCACAGAATTTGCGTTTATATATTGCCATAAGTCATTGTTGTAGTTGTCGTTCGTCGTCTCCTGGGTGACCTGGAGAAGACAAAGTAGCGAATGTTTCGTGGTTTAGGAAACAATGTTTCCTGGTTTGTCCACCTTTGGGAAACTTGGCTAGGAAACAATGTTTCTTGGTTTGTCCACCTTTGGGAAACACATGGCTAGGAAACAATGTTTCCTGGTTTGTTCACCTTTAGGGAATATGCCTAGGAAACAATGTTTCTTGGTTTGTCCACCTTTGGGAAACATGACTAGGACACAATGTTTCTGCATGACTGCATCAATATTTCCGCGTTTGCCTAAAAGTGAAATGGCTTTAAAACTATTTTAGATGATAGAAATTGAGTGCCTTGAGGGAAATACATTACCAATCCACTGCTGAGCATATAAAAATCATCACCACTATACAGTTCCCCAGGATAGGAGGAAAAACTGTGATTTTGCGCAAAAATGTGAAGAGCTGTAAAGAAAACATATCTTAGTTTTAAATAAAACATAAGAGGAACTATCCACTGACAAGGATTCTAGGAACGAAGGAGCAAGCTAATTAAACCATATCACTCAATTATATTTATTTGCCTTCAAATATACACGTAAAAATCTCACAACTTGTCAACAAGATGTGTTCGCAACAGGCTTGTAGCAAGCTTGTCAACAAGTTGTAACAATGCTGTTATTTTATCAAGTTGCTACAAGGTTGTCACTCACAACTTGTTGACAAATTGTTGAATTGCAGGACGATAACAAGTTGTTGGAACAACTTGCAACAAGTCTGTTGAGTTCAACAGCCTTGTAGCAAGCTTGTCAACAAGTTGTAACAATGTTGTTATTTTATCAAGTAGCTACAAGGTTGTCACTCACAACTTGTTGACAAATTGTTGAATTGCAGGACGATAACAAGTCGTTGGAACAACTTGCAACAAGTCTGTTGAGTTCAACAACCTTGTAGCAAGTTGTCAACAAGCTGGGAACAAGCAGTACGAACACATCCTGTTGACAAGTTGTTGGAACAGCATTGTTACAAGTCTGCTGCAGGTTTGTTACAACTTGTGCGTTTTTCCATGAGTACTACGCAGACTGCTTGTGATGAAAATAATGAAGATTATTTTCTCACTTTGATAACTGCAGGTTGGTCATCTGCTGCACGATAGTGCTTTGTGAAACTGCTCTATAAGGAACATTCGCTGACCTGGATTGCTGTTGTTAACCAGCTGTAGTTCGTAAAGTTTATAAATACGTAACATCGATGAGTAGGAATTCCATGTTACTTGAGAAATGAACAAATCTTTGTTGTTTGGCAAAACTTTGATAAGTGCAGAACAGGAGCCTCGGCCAACAACACGCTGTTTTACTGTATCGTTGATTAACACGTGTTCCAGATCGTCTAGCCCTCCAAGTTGCATTAAACTACAAAGATACGTTACGGCCAATTTAGACTACACAACTTTCGCATAAAACTGTCGCATGCAACCCGCTTACAACAGTGGCGTAGTCAGACTATATTTTTTTTTTTGGGGGGGGGGCATATATCCAACATCGAAGGCCTGAGCCTTTTTAGGGGGATCCGGGGGCATTCTCTCACGGGAAAATTTCGAAATCTGGAGTCCCTCAATGGCGATTTCTCGTGTTTCTGAGGCGAGATATTGCATAATTCTGAATTATTTACTGCAGGAAAGACCTCATTTTTAATCATTTCTCAATATGGTGGATCTTCAATTTGACTCAACGAAGCTTACTTGGTCGCGTGTAAATAGTTAAATCGAAGTTTTAAAACGCATTTTAACCAATAACAATCACATGGGCATTATTTTCTGTAGTTAGATTTGGGAAAGATTAGAACTTTTATAGACAATTTGGTGAACAGATGAGATTGGTAGTCACATGGGTAGTCATCGTCCTCCCCCTAATTTCTACCCGGATTTTATCTTTTTACCAGCGCAGTCCTTCAGCCTATGGGGGGGGGGGGCTGAGCCCCCCTTGCCCCCCACACTTAATTGTCTACTATACGCAACTAAAGCCTAGCTTTACTTGACTCCGAAATCCGGCCAACAGCCAAGCGTAGTGTAATTTATATTGAGTAGGACGGGCAAGGAATCATTTGCATACGACTCAGTGCTATGATAGCCATGTGAAAATGTGCTTTAAAATTCCCCTGAGCCAAACCTATCTCTGTTAATATGCGTTTTGAACCTTTCTAAGTCCATCTATGACGGAAAAATGTTTTCGATCAGCCAAAAATTTTCTAAGTGTCAAGCCTAGCTTTACTTGACTGCGAAATCCGGGCAAGCGTAGTGTAATTTATATTGAGTAGGACGGGCAAGGAATCATTTGCATACGGCTCAGTGCTATGATACCCATGTGAAAATGTGCTTTAAAATTCCCCTGAGCCAAACCTATCTCCGTTAATATGCGTTTTGAACCTTTCTAAGTCCATCTATGACGGAAAAAATTTTTCGATCAGCCAAAAATTTATTTGACTCAGAAATCCGGGCAACGGGCAAGCGTAGTGTAATTTATATTAAAGGACGGGCAAGCGTAGTGTAATTTATAGTAATCGGGACGGGCAAGGAATCATTTGCATACGGCTCAGTGCTATGATAGCCATGTGAAAATGTGCTTTAAAATTCCCCTGAGCCAAACCTATCTCCGTTAATATGCGTTTTGAACATTTCTAAGTCGATCTATGACGAAAAAATTTTTTCGATCAGCCAAAAATTTATTTGACTCAGAAATCCGGGCAACGGGCAAGCGTAGTGTAATTTATATTAAAGGACGGGCAAGCGTAGTGTAATTTATAGTAATCGGGACGGGCAAGGATCATTTGCATACGGCTCAGTGCTATGATAGCCATGTGAAAATGTGCTTTAAAATTCCCCTCAGCCAAACCTATCTCCGTTCATATGCGTTTTGAACCTTTCTAAGTCCATCTATGACGGAAAATTTTTTTCGATCAGCCAAAAATTTTCTTAGGGCCTGTTCATATGATCCCGCTTACCGGGACGTCTCGCTTTCCGATGATCTCGCCGCCTATCTATTTTCCTATAAAATTTTGCATTGTGTTCATATGAGAAAGCGAGCTGGCCCGCTTGCCGAGATCTCGTTTGAATTTGCCGAGATCATAGGTAGGCGGGATGAAAATTTTTCCATATGAACACGCCAGCCCGCTTACCGGGATGAAGTGAAACAAGTCTTGCCGGTTTAATTTAACATTTTTACTTGGTTTTATGTTTGTTTTGTAAACAAGTATTAAATAAGCACCTGAAGCAATACTTTTTCTTCTAAATAAACGAAGAAAAACACTAAAATCGCCAAGTATTTGTGTTGCTTGACTGAAATGTAGAAGTTTTGCATACGCTAATTATAGAACAACAATGTAATTTCATCTCGGCAAGCGGGACGAAATACTCCATATGAACGCACGGAAATATTCGTCTCGGTAAGCGAGACGTCCCGGTAAGCGGGATCATATGAACAGGCCCTAAGTGTCAAACCTAGCTTTACTTGACTTCGAAATTCAGGCAACGGGCAAGCGTAGTGTAATTTATATTGAGTAGGACGGGCAAGGAATCATTTGCATACGGCTCAGTGCTATGATAGCCATGTGAAAATGTGCTTTAAAATTCCCCTGAGTCAAACCTATCTCCGTTAATATGCGTTTTGAACCTTTTTAAGTCCATCTATGACGGAAAAATTTTTTCGATCAGCCAAAAATTTTCTAAGTGTCAACCCTAGCTTTACTTGACTGCGAAATCCGGGCAAGCGTAGTGTAATTTATATTGAGTAGAACGGGCAAGGAATCATTTGCATACGGCTCAGTGCTATGATAGTCATGTGAAAATGTGCTTTAAAATTCCCCTGAGCCAAACCTATCTCCGTTAATATGCGTTTTGAACCTTTCTAAGTCCATCTACGACGGAAAAATTTTTTCGATCAGCCAAAAATTTATTTGACTCAGAAATCCGGGCAACGGGCAAGCGTAGTGTAATTTATATTAAAGGACGGGCAAGCGTAGTGTAATTTATAGCAATCGGGACGGGCAAGGAATCATTTGCATACGGCTCAGTGCTATGATAGCCATGTGAAAATGTGCTTTAAAATCCCCCTGAGCCAAACCTATCTCCGTTAATATGCGTTTTCAACCTTTCTAAGTCCATCTATGACGGAAAAATTTTTTCGATCAGCCAAAAATTTTCTAAGTGTCAACCCTAGCTTTACTTGACTGCGAAATCCGGGCAAGCGTAGTGTAATTTATATTGAGTAGGACGGGCAAGGAATCATTTGCATACGGCTCAGTGCTATGATAGCCATGTGAAAATGTGCTTTAAAATTCCCCTGAGCCAAACCTATCTCCGTTAATATGCGTTTTGAACCTTTCTAAGTCCATCTATGACGAAAAAATTTTTTCGATCGGCCAAAAATTTTCTAAGTGTCAACCCTAGCTTTACTTGACTGCGAAATCCGGGCAAGCGTAGTGTAATTTATATTGAGTAGAACGGGCAAGGAATCATTTGCATACGGCTCAGTGCTATGATAGCCATGTGAAAATGTGCTTTAAAATTCCCCTGAGCCAAACCTATCTCCGTTCATATGCGTTTTGAACCTTTCTAAGTCCATCTACGACGGAAAAATTTTTTCGATCAGCCAAAAATTTTCTAAGTGTCAAGCCTAGCTTTACTTGACTTCGAAATCCAGGCAACGGGCAAGCGTACTGTAATTTATATTGATTAGGACGGGCAAGGAATCATTTGCATACGGCTCAGTGCTATGATAGCCATGTGAAAATGTGCTTTAAAATTCCCTTGAGCCAAACCTATCTCCGTTAATATGCGTTTTGAACCTTTCTAAGTCCATCTACGACGGAAAAATTTTTTCGATCAGCCAAAAATTTTCTAAGTGTCAAGCCTAGCTTTACTTGACTTCGAAATCCAGGCAACGGGCAAGCGTAGTGTAATTTATATTAAAGGACGGGCAAGCGTAGTGTAATTTATAGTAATCGGGACGGGCAAGGAATCATTTGCATACGGCTCAGTGCTATGATAGCCATGTGAAAATGTGCCTTAAAATTCCCCTGAGCGAAACCTATCTCCGTTAATATGCGTTTTGAACCTTTCTAAGTCCATCTATGACGGAAAAATTTTTTCGATCAGCCAAAAATTTTCTAAGTGTCAAGCCTAGCTTTACTTGACTTCGAAATCCAGGCAACGGGCAAGCGTAGTGTAATTTATATTGAGTAGGACGGGCAAGGAATCATTTGCATACGGCTCAGTGCTATGATAGCCATTTTAAAATGTGCTTTAAAATTCCCCTGAGCCAAACCTATCTCCGTTAATATGCGTTTTGAACCTTTCTAAGTCCATCTATGACGGAAAAATTTTTTCGATCAGCCAAAAATTTATTTGACTCAGAAATCCGGGCAACGGGCAAGTGTAGTGTAATTTATATTAAAGGACGGGCAAGCGTAGTGTAATTTATAGTAGTCGGGACGGGCAAGGAATCATTTGCATACGGCTCAGTGCTATGATAGCCATGTGAAAATGTGCTTTAAAATTCCCTTGAGCGAAACCTATCTCCGTTAATATGCGTTTTGAACCTTTCTAAGTCCATCTACGACGGAAAAATTTTTTCGATCAGCCAAAAATTTTCTAAGTGTCAAGCCTAGCTTTACTTGACTTCGAAATCCAGGCAACGGGCAAGCGTAGTGTAATTTATATTAAAGGACGGGCAAGGAATCATTTGCATACGGCTCAGTGCTATGATAGCCATGTGAAAATGTGCTTTAAAATTCCCCTGAGCCAAACCTATCTCCGTTAATATGCGTTTTGAACCTTTCTATAAGTCCATCTATGACGGAAAATTTTTTTCGATCAGCCAAAAATTTATTTGACTCAGAAATCCGGGCAACGGGCAAGCGTAGTGTAATTTATATTAAAGGACGGGCAAGCGTAGTGTAATTTATAGTAATCGGGACGGGCAAGGAATCATTTGCATACGGCTCAGTGCTATGATAGCCATGTGAAAATGTGCTTTAAAATTCCCTTGAGCGAAACCTATCTCCGTTAATATGCGTTTTGAACCTTTCTAAGTCCATCTACGACGGAAAAATTTTTTCGATCAGCCAAAAATTTTCTAAGTGTCAAGCCTAGCTTTACTTGACTTCGAAATCCAGGCAACGGGCAAGCGTAGTGTAATTTATATTAAAGGACGGGCAAGCGTAGTGTAATTTATAGTAATCGGGACGGGCAAGGAATCATTTGCATACGACTCAGTGCTATGATAGCCATGTGAAAATGTGCTTTAAAATTCCCCTGAGCCAAACCTATCTCCGTTAATATGCGTTTTGAACCTTTCTAAGTCCATCTATGACGAAAAAATTTTTTCGATCGGCCAAAAATTTTCTAAGTGTCAACCCTAGCTTTACTTGACTGCGAAATCCGGGCAAGCGTAGTGTAATTTATATTGAGTAGAACGGGCAAGGAATCATTTGCATACGGCTCAGTGCTATGATAGCCATGTGAAAATGTGCTTTAAAATTCCCTTGAGCGAAACCTATCTCCGTTAATATGCGTTTTGAACCTTTCTAAGTCCATCTATGACGGAAAAATTTTTTCGATCAGCCAAAAATTTTCTAAGTGTCAAGCCTAGCTTTACTTGACTTCGAAATCCAGGCAACGGGGAAGCGTAGTGTAATTTATATTGAGTAGGACGGGCAAGGAATCATTTGCATACGACTCAGTGCTATGATAGCCATGTGAAAATGTGCTTTAAAATTCCCCTGAGCCAAACCTATCTCTGTTAATATGCGTTTTGAACCTTTCTAAGTCCATCTATGACGGAAAATGTTTTCGATCAGCCAAAAATTTTCTAAGTGTCAAGCCTAGCTTTACTTGACTGCGAAATCCGGGCAAGCGTAGTGTAATTTATATTGAGTAGGACGGGCAAGGAATCATTTGCATACGGCTCAGTGCTATGATACCCATGTGAAAATGTGCTTTAAAATTCCCCTGAGCCAAACCTATCTCCGTTAATATGCGTTTTGAACCTTTCTAAGTCCATCTATGACGGAAAAAATTTTTCGATCAGCCAAAAATTTATTTGACTCAGAAATCCGGGCAACGGGCAAGCGTAGTGTAATTTATATTAAAGGACGGGCAAGCGTAGTGTAATTTATAGTAATCGGGACGGGCAAGGAATCATTTGCATACAACTCAGTGCTATGATAGCCATGTGAAAATGGGCTTTAAAATTCCCATGAGCCAAACCTATCTCCGTTAATATGCGTTTTGAACCTTTCTAAGTCGATCTATGACGAAAATTTTTTTTCGATCAGCCAAAAATTTTCTAAGTGTCAAGCCTAGCTTTACTTGACTCCGAAATCCCGCGGGCGAGCGTAGTACAATTTATATTGACTAGGACGGGCAAGGAATCATTTGCATACAGCTCAGTGCTATGATAGCCATGTGAAAATGTGCTTTAAAATTCCCATGAGCCAAACCTATCTCCGTTAATATGCGTTTTGAACTTTCTAAGTCGATCTATGACGAAAAAATTTTTTCGATGCGCCAAAAATTTATTTGACTCAGAAATCCGGGCAACGGGCAAGCGTAGTGTAATTTATATTAATGGACGGGCAAGCGTAGTGTAATTTATAGTAATCAGGACGGGCAAGGAATCATTTGCATACGGCTCAGTGCAATGATACTCATGTGAAAATGTACTTTAAAATTCCCCTGAGCCAAACCTATCTCCGTTAATATGCGTTTTGAACCTTTCTAAGTCGGTCTATGACGAAAAATTTTTTTCGGTCAGCCAAAAAATTATTTGACTCAGAAATCCGGCCAACGGGCAAGCGTAGTGTAATTTATATTAATGGACGGGCAAGCGTAGTGTAATTTATAGTAATCGAGACGGGCAAGGAATCATTTGCATACAGCTCAGTGCCATGATAGCCATGTGAAAATGGGCTTTAAAATTCCCATGAGCCAAACCTATCTCCGTTAATATGCGTTTTGAACCTTTCTAAGTCGATCTATGACGAAAAATTTTTTTCGATTCGCCAAAAATTTATTTGACTCAGAAATCCGGGCAACGGGCAAGCGTAGTGTAATTTATATTAATGGACGGGCAAGCGTAGTGTAATTTATAGTAATCGGGACGGGCAAGGAATCATTTGCATACAGCTCAGTGCTATGATAGCCATGTGAAAATGGGCTTTAAAATTCCCATGAGCCAAACCTATCTCCGTTAATATGAGTTTTGAACCTTTCTAAGTCGATCTATGACGAAAAATTTTTTTCGATGCGCCAAAAATTTATTTGACTCAGAAATCCGGGCAACGGGCAAGCGTAGTGTAATTTATATTA